AGGCTGGGTCATTACGTCTATTCAAGCCAAAGAGACAGATTTCTAAATCAGCAACGGAGCTAAGGGTTACGGGGGCAGGGTGGGGGGTAGAAGAAAGAAGGCAGAAAGGTGTTTTGAAAAAGTTCAGATTAGCCATGATGTCATCAAATGACAGCCCGAACTCAATGGGCCGAATTGCCTATTTCTGTTCCTAGTCTTATGGCATTAAGTATGAACTGCTCTTCAATTTGTGAAGGAGAGGTCACATTTGATAAATTAAGTTCTGTTTTAGATCACGACCACAATGGATAAGGGACTGTCTGTGGATGTTATTAAGTACAAGTCACTTAGCAACAAAATTCTTGCAGCCTGAATTGGAAGTTGATTGGGAATTAGGAGACAGATAGAATGGAAGGATCGAACAGGTTCTGCTCCCATAGATCTGTACTAGGGGCTCGGGTTTTCAGCATCAACATCAAGTTCTTGGATCACTGCTCAACTAATTGTATATTCAAGTTAGTAGATACCAGTAGAGGCACAATGATTTGTACAGACTGGAGCATACTTAACAAGGAGCGCAGATATGGGTGCACGGACCAAACTACATTAACATTTGAAAATATTCAAAGTTTTTTTGGAACTAAACTAATGGGTCACGGGGCAGGGGGTGATGGTAAATCAGGAGGGAAATTTGACAGTCCAATTACATGTCATTACAAGTTGGCTGTTAGGCACAAATCATTAATGGAATGTTGGCCTTCATTTTAGGGAGCTGGAATACAAAACCAAACGGGCAAGTTATGCTTCAATCTTATAGGCCTTTGGTCAGACCCCATTGGACTATTGTGTTCAGTAGAAGGCAGACCACAGGAAGAAAATAAAACAGTCTTAGAGTGCAGCACAGATTCACCAGAATGATGCAGTAAGTTAATTATGAGGACAGGATACATAAACTTGGCTTGTAATTCATCAGGTAAAGACAATTGAGAAATGAGCTGATTGAAATGTGAAAGATTCAACAGGGTGAAACATAGCAACAATTGCTTCCAGTGGGGGAAGCAAGGGACCACAATCTTAAAATTAGATAAGACAATTCAGGAGGGAAATCAGGAAGCATTCTTTTCCATGTAGCATGTAAAAGTGTGCTAGAAACACTCTTCAAAAGGCTGTGGTTATTGGAACAATTGGAGCATTCAACACTGAAGTTGATGGATATTTGATAGATAAAAGGGCAATTAAAAAGAGTCACAAACAATGGCTAGTAAAGGAATTTGAGATACTGAACCACACTAACTGAACGGTAGAACAGACTCGAAGGGCTACGTGTGTTTATACTAGTAAGACATTGTCTTTTCCAAAAGACTTAAGTTATTCTTCTTGTCTTCTTATTACGTTAAGCACCGATTGCAATTCGGTTAAGCATCATGCCTAAAGCTGGTCAAACTAAATCAGCTTACAGGTTTGCCATATCAGCCATGGCCCAGCTGATTGCAATAACACCATTTGAATCTGAAAGCCTAGTTCAGAGAAGGTTTTGAGAACTGCACTAAGACAGGTGGTTATTTTGGATAAAATATTAAAGAGAGAGGCTTCATCTGCTTTCAAGTAGAATTAAAAAGATCTCAGGAAAACTTCAAAAACAAAAGGTAGGAGGAGTTACCTAGTGTCATGGCCAGTTTTAATCCTAAAATCAGCATCACTAAAATTACACACGTTGTGATCTTATCACGTTACTGCTTGTGGGAAAATTGCAGTGGACAAACTGTTGGCCACATTCCTACATTCAAGGTATTCAAACAGGAAGCTGGAAGAACACAGCAAGCCTGGCAGCATCTGGAGGAAAGGAGAAGTCAATGTTTTCAGGTATTACCCTTCTTCAGGATTTGATATGGGGGCATGGGGAGCTGCAAATAAAGAGAGGGGGAAGGGAACGGTGGCGATATCTGGACACTGGTAATAGGTACAACCTGGTTGGTCGATCCGGATTCATCCTACGCTTGGTAGCTGGAAGGGAAGGGAGGAGGCAGGGCTGGAAAGGTTATTTTGAAGTTAGAGAACTCAAACGTTGAGTCCTCTGGGCTGTAGGGTGCCCAGGTAGAAGATAAAACGTATTGCTCGTCAAATGTGTGTTCTGAATCATAAGAACTAGGAGCAGGAGTAGGCTATCCGGCCCCGCTAGCCTGCCCCGCCATTCAGTAAGATCATGGCTGATCTTTTTGAGACTCAGCTCCACTTACCCACCTGCACACCATAACCCTTAATTCCTTTACTGTTCAAAAATTTATCTAGCCTTGCCTTAAACACATTCAGCGAGGTAACTTCAACCGCTTCACTGGGCAGGGAATTCCACAGATCCACAACCCTTTGGGTGAAGAAGTTCCGTCTGATCTCAGTCCTACATCTGTTTCCCTTTATTTTGAGGCTATGCCCCCTAGTCCTAGTTTCACCTGCTAGCGGAAACAACCTCCCTGCCTCCACCTTATCTATTCCCTTCATAATCTTATGTTTCTATAAGATCTCCCCTCATTCTTCTGAATTCCAATGAGTATAATCCCAGTCTACTCAGTCTCTCCTCATAATCCAATCCTCTCAATTCTGGAATCAACCGAGTGAACCTCCTCTGCACCCCCTCCAGTGCTAGTATATCCCTTCTCAAGTAAGGAGACCAAAACTGCACACACTACTCCAGGTGTGACCTCACCAGGACCCTATACAGCTGCAGCATAGCCTCCCTGTTTTTAAACTCCATCCCTCTAGCAATGGCAGACAAAATTCCATTTGCCTTTCTATTACCTGCTGCACCTGCAATCCTACTTTTAGCAATTTAAGCACAATGACACCCAAGTCCCTCTGCACAGCAGCGTGCTGCAATTTTTTACCATTTAAAACAGTCCATTTTGCTGTTATTCCCAAAATGAATCACTGCAACACTGCAGGAGGCGTTGTAGGGAGTTGAAATGGGCAGTGACTGGGACGTTAGGCTGCCTGTTATGGGCCAGATGAAGATGCTCATGAAATGGTCACCTAGTTTACATTTGGTCTCACCGATGTAGAGGAGACCACTTCAGGTGCAGTGGATGCAGGTGAAGCTCTGCCTCACTTGGAAGGACCCAGCAGCATCTGGCCCTGAATGGAGATGTGGGAGTTGGTACATGAGCAGATATTGCAACTTTAACAGTTACAGAGGAAGGTGTTTGGTGGGAAGTATGGCATGAACTAAGGGAATAGTCCTTGTAGAAGGCAGAGAGGGGTGGGGAGTGGAAGATGTTCTGGGTGGCAGGGTCTAATTGGAGTTGGTGGAAATGTTTGAGGATGCGGAGCTGGTGGGGTGGAAAGTGAAGACAAAGGGGAAGCTATCTCTTCAGGTTTCGGTGTTGGGGGGTGTTAAAGCTGTGGAGTCGGCAATAGATAAGGCACGGTGGAGAGCTGTCTCTCCTCTGTACCGATGCAGTCATCGATGTAACAGTGGAAGAATTGGGGAATAGTACAAATGTACTTACTGGAGCAGTTCATCCCTTATCCCAGTTTTCCCCAATTGCTCCATCGCATCTGCTCTGACGAGGAGGCGTTCCATTCCCTCTCATCCTGGATGTCCTTTTTTTTCCCCAAACAATGTTCTTTTCCTCTGTCATCCAGACAGCTCCCCACCATGCTTCATCCAATTCCCGCTCCACAACTCTAAACCACCTTCAAATATAAGATATATACCCCACCAGCTCCGCATCCAACGTATCATCCTCAAACATTTCCAACTCCAATTAGACACACCACCCAGAACATTTTCTCCTCCCCACCCCTCCTGAAATAGTTTTGTCTACATTGGTGAGACCAAACATAAACCAGATGACAGTTTTGCAAGCATCTTCGCCTGGCCCATAAAGGCCAGCCAACCTCCCAGTCACTGCCCATTTCCTCCACATGCTGCCTGGCCTTCTGTGTTCTTCCAAACTCACGCCTGTCCACCTTGGATTCCAGCATGTGGGTTTTTTTTTGTCTCTTTCCTACAGAGACAATTGAAAAAGCTGCTAAGACTTTGGGATATCAAGAAAGGTGCTGAATGATTTCAAGTTTTTCTTATTTCTAGTTCCTAGTCTTCATTATCCATATTTTCCTGAGCTTAGAGATGTAAGCAAGGAGCCCTTAAAAACATATGCCCTCTCTTTTCCAAGGCTCAGTTGAATGTCATCTAATCAGATTGCTTAATTTCTTTCAAGATTACAAAACCTAAGATGACATCCCAACTTAATTTGTTTCCAACTTTCTGCTAGTAGTCGGTAGAACACTACTTCCAAAAATTGATGATCACTACAAAAGATTCATTTACGATCCCCGGGAACACTTCAAATTCTTTAGTATTTAATAGTCTTCTGCTGTCTAATACAGTTGAGAAAGCTCTTAACGTTTCTGCCCCATTGTCTTGCATTTTTTCCCCAAATGGCCTTTTAAATTGCTCTGATAGTTTTGTTTCCGGCAATTGTACATTATATATGCGTTTTCCCCACAAAAATTGCATCTTTTAACTACGAACAGATTAGAAAGTAGAGTACAATTTATCATCGATGGCAACTACCGAGACCCATCAATAATATGTCCCTTCCCTTGCAATCAGTGGACACGCTTTCTCTGTACTGTACTGGGCCAACGCACAGTTCTTGTTATGCTGCAAGTCACACACTGGAAAGCTACACCCACCCTTTGCCCATCGCCTTTCCAGGTGAGACTCACCGCGGCCGTGGCTTTTTTTGCAGCAGGGACAATGGCAGGAACTGGCGCTGACATGTTGTTACCGCACATACACAATCAAAACGAAGGCGTCCAGCTAACCCGCAGGTCACCTCCACAGCACACGGCCCCAGACGCCGTTCTCCACACTCCTCCTCCTTCCGCCCGCGCTTAGGACCGTTACACCCGCCAGCTATCCCTCCTCCTCCTCCTCCTCAGCCGAATTTGACGTCCTTACAACGGAAACACATGTTACGCCATATGATTGGCTGAGCCCGATGTCAATCAGAGGAAACAATTGGCGGCTGGTTGACTGCGCAGTTGCCGTGGCGCGCTTGGCAAGTTGTGGTCGTCGACTGTGAACAATCCGTTTTTCTTTTCACTGCCCAGATGTATCCCTGATAAAAATGTACAAGTATTAGCGTCAATCAGAATTATAATAAAACTAGATTTGGCTGTTGGTCAGGCTTCCGGTATTTGCTACTTTCACGATTTGCATTTTTAAGCAATGAACTACACAGAAAGGAGTTTAAGAATCGCACACGTGAATTTTTTAAAACAAAATTCAGCAACTAGAAATTAGAGAACAAATGGGTCATCTGGAGGTTTTAGGGACTCGCCGCTTCCGCCCTTGTCGTAAAGACGCCTTGCTCTGACTTTTGCGACACAGCTGTCCGTCTTGACGGTTGGGAAAAATGGCGACGCGAGGATTTGGATCGACTGGGCTCGAGCTCCTCCGGCGGCTGCCGCGGGTCTCCCTCGCCAACCTGAGACCAAACCCCGGAGCGAAGAAGAAGGTGAGTGCACTATGAGAACTGGGAAGGAGGCATCCAGCAGCTGAAAGAATTAGCGAGGCTGCTGCTTCACAGCAGGAGAGAGAGATAGTCCTTTTTCAGCAGGGAAAAGGACGCTGAAATTGAGGTAGTGGGTGAATTTCCGCTCCCACTGTCACGAGTAGGAAGCCGTGAGTCGCTTGCTTCCAAAGCCTCATTTAGAAATTGATGACCACGATGGAGTGCAACTTAACCGCGTAATTCTGCTCACAAAATAATAATTGTAGCACGGAGAGTGGTAGAGGGACTGCTTGGCCCAGAGTGTCGGAATGATTCTGTAAGGGCAGCTCAGATGGTTTTCTACCCTTTCCCCATAACTTTGCAAATGTTCTCTTCACAAGGTTATCCAACTCGCTTAGACACTAAAAAAAAACAAAACTGCGGAAATCGGAAACAAAATCAGGAATTGTTGGAAAAACTCAGGTCTGGCAGCATCTGTGGGAGAAAGCAGAGTTAACGTTTCGGCTCTAGTATCCCTCCTTCAGAACTGATTGGAAAAGGTTGATATATATGCTGAAGAAGGGATAGGTGGAGGGGAAAAGTGTAAACAATAGATGGAGATGGAGGCTGGGGAAAAGGAGATAAACAGTTGGGCAGACAAGTGAATGAGTAAAGGTCAGCCTGGGAGCATGAATACTGTATGAATAGCTCAGTGAACAGGTCGAGTTCAGGTAAATGGCCAGAAGGAGAAGTCCGGGTGGAGGGAGCAAGTTGGAGGTGGGTGAAGAGATCTGTGGGACGGGGAGTGACTCCTGCCCAAAGAAATGGGCGCAGAGGTGAAGGTGAAAAATATCAGGTTCAATACTTTTAGGGCCAGAGCACCACCATCACCTATATCCTTACCCCCACCCCACCCCACCCCAGGCCCTATCATCACATGGCTGCTACTACAAGCAACCCATTATCAGCCACCAATAGTCCCCATTAGCTACTCATTCTCCCAGGCTGACATTTACCCATTCCTTTGTCTGCCCAACTGTATTTTTTTTCTCTCTTAGGACTCCTTCTCCACCTATTGTTTAATCTTTCCCTCTTTCTCCGTCTCTTCTCTAACACGCATACTGTACCAACTTTATCTTAGCTACAGTCAGTTCTGAAGAAGAGTCACTGCACCTAAAACTTTAACTCTGCTTTCGCTGCACATGTTGCCAGACCTGCTGAGTTTTTTCAACAGCTTATGATTTTGTCACTTCGACACCCACACTGTCAGAATTTTATAAAGCTATGATATGGAGAGAAACATCCTTAAATGTTTGAACGGGCTTCACTTGAAGTAGTGCCCTGGAAAATTGAATAAAAGTGTAGAAAAGGCTATAATTAGAGGGGTACGGGTATGGAGGGCTTGGGAGGGGTCATACAAAGACCTACAAAACAAAAGGAGCATTTCAGAGCAATTAATTTGATAGCAATAACTAGAGTGGGACTGGAAGCGACTGTGTGTACAAGGATAACAAAACAGCAGCAAACTGGGCATGGTAAAAGTACAAAATGAATGTATGTATGAAGCCAAGTACCAAGGGGCGTAAAACTTTTGTGGGGTTTGTGTATATATACCCCCAAACTGTAGGAGTGATGTTGGGAATGGCATAAAACAGGTAAAATGATAAAGGATGCGATAAAGGAACATCTGTAATTATGGGTAACTTATTAATCTGCATATAGAATGGAAAATCAAATTGGTTAAACTTCCATAGAGGAGGAATGCCTGGAGTGTATCCAGGATGATTTTCGGGATCAACCCATTGAGGAACCAAGTAAAAGCAGGCCATCCTAGATGAGGTATTGTATAACTGCAAAGAAATAATTGACATTACAGTTCCACAAGACTCCTCAGGGGAGTGACCATTATATAATAGAATTACTAATCACAATGGAGAGTGATGTAATTGATTTTGAACTAGAACTTTGAATTTCAGTAGAGGAAATTACGGTGGTGTGAGATGCAAGTTGGTTTTGATAGATCGGCAGTGTGGGTGGGTGGTGGGTTTGCTTGAAGGGATGACAGTGCAAAGTCAATGGTAGATATTCAAAGAGTGCATGGGTGAACTGCAACGACTGTTCATTCCTGTCTGGCCCAAAAGTAAAATGAGACAGGTGACTGGACCATGGCTTACAAGGAAATTTAGATACAATATTAGATCCAAGGAAGAGGCATAAAGATTGACCAGAAAAAAACAAGTGTGATGAGTGGGAGCAATTTATAATTCAGCAAACAAGGACAAAGGGATTGATTAAAAAAGATATTAAGAATAGAGTAGGCATAAAAATTGACTATAAAAATTTCCCTTGGTATATGAAGGAATAAAAATTGGTGAAGACAAATGTAGCTCCCTTAAGTCAGAAATGGAAATTACAATGGGGAGCAAGTAAATGGTTGACCAACTAAATAACATGCTTTGTCTCTGTGCTCACAAAGGAGGACACAAATAACACACCAGAAATATTGGGGAAATGCAAGGTTTTGAGAGATGGAGGAACTGAAGGAAATCAGTACTAGTGGGGAAATGGTGTTTGGGAAATTAATGGATTGAAGGCAAAAAGTTCCCCAGGACCTGACAATCTATATGCGACAATACTTAAAGAAATGGCCATAGAAATAGTGGATGCATTGGTTGTCACCTTTCAAGATTATAAAGACTCTGGAACAGAGAGAAAACTCTGAATTATAGACCAGTCAGCCTGATGTTGATAGTGGGGAAGAGTCTTGCTAGAGTCCATTATAAATGAATTAATAACTAAACACTTGGAAACAGTGACAGGACTGAACAGAGTTAACATGGATTTGTAAAAGGGAAATAACACTTAACAAATTTACTGGAATTCTTTAGGCATGTAACTTGTAGAGTTCATGAGAAGAAGCCATTGTCGTAGAATTATATAGCACGGAAACAGACCGTTTGATTCAAGTCGTCTACATCGACCAGACATCCTTAACTGATCGATTACCATTTGCCAGCATTTTGGCCCATATCCCTTTAAACCTTCCTATTTATGTACCCATCCAGATGCCTTTTAAATGTTGTAATTGTACCAGCCTCCCTTGGCAGTTCGTTCCACACACACACACCATCTTTTGCGTGAAAAATTTGTCCCTCAGGTCCCTTTTTAAATCTTTCCCCTCTCATCTTAAACCTATGCCCTCTAGTTTTCCTACTCCGGGGAAAAAGATATTAGCTATTCACCCTATCCATGTCTGTCATGATTTTATAAACCTCTAGAAGGTCGCCCTTCAGCCTCTGACACTCCAGGGGAAAAAAAGGCCCCAACCTATTCAGCCTCTCCTCTTATCTCAAATCCTCCAACCCTGGCAACATCCTTGTAAATCTTTTCTGAACTCTTTCAAGTTTAACAACATCTTTCCTAAACTGGTAGACCAAAATTGACTGCAGTATTCTAAAATTGGACTCACCAATGTCCCGTATAGCCACAACATGACATTCCATCTCCTATATTCAGTGCATTGGCCAATGAAGGCAAGTGTGCCAACTACCTTCTTCACTACCCTGTCTACCTGTGACTTCACGTTCGAGGAGCTATGCACCTGAACCCTAGGTCTCTTTGTACGGCAACACTCCCCACGGGCCCAGCACTAACTGTACGAGTCATGCCCTGGTTTGCCTTACCAAAATGCAACACCTCACGTTTATCTAAATTAAACTACATTTGCTACCCCTTGACTCATCAGATCAATGTCTCGTTGTACTCTCAGATAACCTTCTTCTTTGTCCACTACACCAGCAATTTTGGTGTCATTTGCAAACTTACTAACCATACATCCATTATTCACATCAAATCATTTATATAAATGATGAAAAATAGTAGACCCAGCACTGATCCCTGTGGCAGATTGCTGGTCACAGGCCTCCAGATAGAAAACAGCCTCTGTCTCCTACCTTCAAGCCAATGTTGTATTCAGTTGGCTAGCTCCAATGGACTCCATACGATCCAACCTTGCTAACAAGTCTACCCTGTGGAACCTGTTGAACATTTTACTGAAATCTGTATAGACAACATCCACCGCTCTGCCTTCATCAATTGGATGTGATGTATATAGACTTTCAGAAGGCTTTTGATAGTGTCCCACATAAGAGATTAGTGTGTAAAGTTAAAGATGGATAGAATGCTGGTTAGCAGATGGGAAATAAGGCTTTTTACCGAACAGTGGGGATCAATGCATGGATCCCAGCTATTAATAATATTGATTTAGATGAGACAATTAAAAGTAATATTCCCAAATTTGCTGAAGACACAAAACTGGAAGGGAGGCTGATCTGTGAGGAGGATGCAGCAATGCTTCAGTGTGATTTTGACAAGCTCAGTGAGTCGGCAAATACATGGCTGATGCAATATAACGTGGATAAACGTGAAGCTATCCACTTTGGGAGGTAAAACAGGAAGGTGGATTATTATCTGTATGCTATAAATTGAGAGAGGAGAATGTGCAACAAGGCCTAGGTATCCTTGGACATCAGTCACTGAAGATAACTGCAAGTGCAGGGGGGCGCAAAATCTCATAGAAACGTACAAAATTTCAGGAGGACTAAACAGTGTACATCCAGGATAGATGTTCTGAATGTTGGCCAGGAGGTGGGGGGCAGTGCAGGGCATCCGTGAATAAAGGTCAAACTCCAAGGATATAGAGTAAACCATTTAGGACTGAGATTAGAAATTTCTTTACCCAGAGAGCAGTCAGCCTGTGGAATTCACTACCGCAGAAGGCAGGTAAGGTCAAAACATTGTATGATTTCAAGAAGGAGTTGGATACAGGCAGTCCGCGAATTGCAAATTGGTTTTGTTCCTGAATCAGTTGGCAAGTGATTTGTACACAGGTTGGAATACAGGGTAGGACAATATGAAGCAGCAAATCATAAGTCTAAGAAATATTTATATGTTGGCTAGTTAGAATTACAGCCCTGTATGGGTTGTATTCAGACTTCATAAATTGGGACCCCTTGTATAGCATT